TTAAGCATAGTGTCTTCTTCGGCTCAGGTCATGATCCTGGAGTCCTGGGATCGAGTACCGTAAGGGCTCCCTGCTCAGCAGGAGCCTGCTTTTCCCTCTGTCCCTCACCCCCCTCTCTCTCTCAGATAAATAAATAAAATCTTTAAAAAAAATTTTTTAATATTTTTATAATAATCTTAAATTGTTATTTGCCCTTTTCTCATTCTCATTCTCTTCTGAGTGTCCAGTAGAATTTTCTAGAGGCTACAGATTGAATGTAGAAGCAGGGATGAGAATTCATCTGTCTTGTATCCAGCCATACATTAAAGAGATCTCCAAAAATGTTTTTAAAAAGTTTCAGTAGGGGCGCCTGGGTGGCTCAGTTGGTTAAGCGACTGCTTTCGGCTCAGGTCATGATCCTGGAGTTCCTGGATCGAGTCCCGCATCCGGCTCCCTGCTCGGCAGGGAGCCTGCTTCTCCCTCTGACCCTCCCCCCTCTCATGTGCTCTCTCTCTCATTCTCTCTGTCTCAAATAAATAAATAAAATCTTAAAAAAAAAAAAAGTTTCAGTAACTTGTCGCCGTCATGACACTTCATCCCTAAATACTTCAGTGTGCATCACCAAAAATAAATCAATAAATAAGACTCTTGTACATACTCACGTGTTAGTTATCTATTGCTGTATAACAAATTCCCCCAAAACATGGCAGCAGGAAACACATGCATTATCTCACTGAATCTGTGTCAGGAATCCCGGAATGGCTTAGCTGGATGCCTACCACCCCACAAGATTGTCACATCTAATGAAACTTCCAGTAGTTTCCTTATATCATCTAACAGCTGGTCACATAAAAATAACCCCAGGCGTCCCCAAGTGCCTATTACAGATGTTTGTTCAGGCCAGGCCCCAATCAGGGGCTCCAAGTTACATCTCGTTGTTGTCATGGACTGAATGTGTCCTCCCAAAATTCGTCTGTTGAAACCGACCCCCTAATGGGATGGTATTTGGAGACGGGGCCTCTGGGAGGTGATCAGGTCCTGAAGGTGGAGCCCTGGGGATGGGACGAGTGCCCTATCAAAGAGACCCCAGAGAACTAGCTATTCAGTCTCTTCCTGCCACGTGAGGAGGTGAGGAAAAGGTGGCTGTCTGCGACCCAGAAGAGGGACCTCACCGGAAGCCAACCGTGCCAGCCTCCAGTGCTGTGAGAAATCATGGGCTGCTGGGGATGAGCCCCCTAGTCTCTGGTCTCTGACGCAGCAACAGAGGGGACTGGGACACTTTCTCAGTCTCTTAAGTCTCATTTCATGGTGAATACCCTCCTTTTTCAATCTTCTTTCACGAATTGGACTTGCTGCAGAGACGGGGCCAGAAGGCCCAGCAAGGGTGCCAAGCCCCCTGAGCCACACGGGAGCGGGGGGCGGCTCCGGGACAGGCTGAGCGGGGACCCGGCCGCCCGGCCTCCCGCACTGCAGGCCAAACCGCCCGCCGAGACCGATTTTTATGGGGCCTGGAAGAGTGAGAGCGAAGGCTGACGGCAAGGGAAAGGGGGGGAGGGGGGACGGGCACAGAGCGGTCCCAGCCCGGGGGACGGGGGTCTCCCGGCCATTCTAAGCCTCCCGGGGCCACCCGCGCTGCACACGGCCCACACCTTGCCATGCCACTGCCATCACTGCTTCCTGTCTCTTGGGAGTCTTCCAGCTTGCAGCCCCTCTGACATCCCTCCGATCCCCCCTCGAAAGCCAAGGAAGCAGCAGGACCAGCAAGTACCAGGGGCCCCAAGTCATGGACGCAGCAACTGCTCCAAGAGGGGAAGTGATGCAGACGAAGCCGCCCTCCGGGGTCAGAGCCAGACGCTCGAAGCGCGTGAGCACGCTGCCCGGGGCGGAGCGGGGAGGCGGGCGGCGTCGGGCGGCGTCGGGCGGCGTCGGGCGGCGTCGGGCGGCGCGGGCAGTGGGCGTCGGCCTCCTGATGCTACTAGCTACCCGGGACGCCACCACCAGCTTCTCACCGCGCTCGCTGCCGGCACCACCTCTGCGCCACGCTGCCCGCCCCCTCGTGCGGCTACGGAGGGGACTGGGCCGGGCGGCCCCTCTCCCTGGCACTCTCCTGTCTGCCCAGCTAGCTTCCCAGTCACAACTGGCGCACAAACAGGCCTCCCCTTTCGGGCCGAAGCTACTTCTGGAACCCCACAGCGTAAAAAAGCTTTCGCGTTGTATCTTCCGATACACAGACGCGATGAAAGGGAATCGGATCTCTGATCAAGGGCTTAGCATCAAACAAATCATAGGAAAATGAATTCTAGAATACTGAAGCCAGAGAACTTTTAGAGATCATCCAGATCAGTGGTTCTCGACCAGGGGCAATGCTCCCTACCCCAGGGGGAGAGGTGGCAGCATCTAGAGACATTCTGGTTGTCACGGCTGGGGGAGGGGCGCTACTGGCACCTAGTGAGTGGAGCCCAGGGATGCTGCCCAGCCTCCCACAGTGCGCAGGACGCCCCCCTCCCAACGGATTTATTCAGCCCCAAAGGTCAACAGTGCTGAGGCGGAGAAACCCTGATCTAAATTTCTTGGTTACTTTGAGGAAGAGACAATTAAGGCCCAAAGACACAAAGTAACGTGCCCAAGGTTACACGGTCCGGAAGCCAGAGTAGAATCCAGGTCTCTACATCCAACTCTATCACCCGTTCTGCTCTGTCTAGGGCTGGATGAGGGAGACGGAAGGAAGGGACCCAAGGATCTTAATCCCTGTGGCCAACCTGAACCAAATGAAGGAAACTGCAATAAACAAATTGCTGAATTACTGCAACAACACATCAGGGTGTCCAAACTTTGTAAGAAATGCCATATACAAAATTACACCAGATACAAAAATTAATTCGAAATTAAGATTAAAGACTTGAACATTAGACCTGACACCATAAAACTCCTAGAAGAAAACCTAGGCGATAAGCTCCTTGACATAGGTCTTGGCGATGATTTTTGGAATCTGACACCAAAAGTCAAAGAAACAAAAGCAAAAATAAGTAAGTGGGACTACATCATATTAAAAAGCTCCACACAGCAAAAGAATTCATCTACAGAATGAAAAGGCAACCTACTGAATGGGAGAAAACATTTGCAAAGCATCTATCTGATAAGAAGCTAATATCCAAAATATAACGGATACAATTCAACAGAAAAAAAAATCTGATAAAAAAATGGGCAGAAGATCTAAATAGACATTGTTCCAAGTAGACAGGCAGATGGCCAACGGGCACATGAAAAGATGATCAACATCACTAATCATCAGGGAAATGCAAATGAAAGCCACAACTAAATAACACCGCACACCTATTAGAATGGCTATTAACAAAAGGACCAGAAATAACAAGCGTTGGCAAGGATGTAGAGAAAAGGGACCCCTCATGCACTGTTGGTAGGAATAAAAATTAGTGCCCCCACTGTGGAAGACAGTACGGAGGCTCCTCAAAAAAACTAAAAATAGAACTACCATACGACCCAGCAATTCCACTTCTGGGTATTTATCAGAAGGAAACAAAAAGACATTCACACCGCTATGTTCATTGCAGCATTATTTACAATAGCCAAGGCATGGAAACCACCTAAGTGTCTGTTGATGGATGAATGGATAAAGAAACTGTGGTATATATTTACAGTGGAATATTATTCGGCCATAAGAAAAAATGGGGGTGCCTGGGCAGCTCAGTCATTAAGCGTCTGCCTTTGGCTCAGGTCATGATCCCAGGGTCCTGGGATCGAGCCCCGCATCGGGCTCCCCCGCTTTGCGGGAAGCCTGCTTCTCCCTTCCCCACTCCCCCTTGTGCTTGTGTTCCCTCTCTCGCTGTGTCTCTGTCAAATAAATAAATAAAATCTTAAAAAAAAAAAAAAAAGAATGAATGAAAGCTTGCTATTTGCAACATGGATGGACCTCGAGGGCATTATGCTAAGGGGAAGTAAGGCAGGCAGACAGAGAAAGTCAAATACTGTAGGATCCCTCTTATATGTGGAATCGAAGGGGGAAAAAAGCTCACAGAGAACAGACTGGTGGTTGCCAAAGGCAGGGGGGTAGGGGGTGGGAGAAATAAAAATTTTTTTAATTGAAGCTTCAAGCATGGTTGGATCCAGGAACTTGAAAATGATTAATGAAAAATGAAGCTCAGTTACCAGCTAGGTAATGAAAATTGCTAGCTAGCTCCTTGAGAATGATTTCAGCCTGAAACGTGCTGCCAAATCCGGTTCATCCCTGACTCCTCCACCAGCGGGAACCGCAGAGGCCCCGCCGATGGTTTAACCCCCTCTGGGGTGAGCAAGGTGGCTCTCCCAGGCCTTCAGGACGTGTGCAACTGCAAAACATTGACCGATTTCTTAAACGGTAACTAAATACTCCCAGTACCACGCCCAGTGCTGGAGATGGAGGAATGAACAATACATACACAAATCCCAGGCTTCCTGGACCTCATATTCTAGCAGGGAGAAACAGACTCAAAACACAATAAATAAGTAAATTACTAAAAAATTTAAAAAGAAGAAAAAACCACAATGAGATACCATAACTACCTACCAGAATGGTTAAAATTTTTTTAAAAACTGACAATAACCAAGGGGCTGGCAGGGAATAATTTACATACGATAAGACTCATTCACTTAAAAGAAATAAACACGAAGAGATAACCCCTACATACCTACGAGCATGGCTAAAATTAAAAACAAAACAAAACCAAGGTGCTGGCAAGGATCCTGAGCAACTGAAATTCTCATACATTGCTGGCAGAAATGCAAAATGGTACGCCCACCTTGGAAAATAGCTTGGCATTTTCTTATATAAGCACAATTTCTTTTTTAAGATTTTATTTATCTATTTGACAGAGAGAGACACAGCGAGAGAGGGAACACAGCAGAGGGAGTGGGAGAGGGAGAAGCAGGCTTCCCGCTGAGCAGGGAGCCCGACTTGGGGCTCGATCCCAGGACCCTGGGACCCTGACCTGAGCCGAAGGCAGACGCTTAACGACTGAGCCACCCAGGCGCCCCTATAAGCACAATTTTTAAAAAGACTACAGAAGCAAAGACACAGCTGTAGAGATAGAAACATGAATGTATGGATATATAAATATACAGGCGTGGATATGGACAAAGATAGGATTTTGACATTTGGATCTCTAGGCTGAAGTATATGCAGGACTACGTCCCAATATCTTGCCAGCTCATTTTCTGACATAGCATGAATTTCACAGAAACATTATTTTGATTTTAGCAAAATCAAAGGTAAGTCTCACGGACTTCACCCCATCCCCATTTTTCTTTGCTGACTTCACCCCATCTCCATGCCCGTTTTTCTTTAAACAGGGCTCACATCCTCTTTTCTCCTTGATGTCTTCTGAATGGCAATCTTATAAAGTTCTAAGTTGGAAGAGAATTCCCCATTGTTTTTATAGCTTCTCCTTACTCTGAAATAAATAATCAGAGCAAATCAATTGAAATTTGGTTAGAAAATAAAACAGAGAGAGGAAGTCTATAATCCCCTTCTTAGAGCCAAAGCTATCTGGGCTGCTTGACAGTAAGCCCACCACCAAGGGGAAAAGAATAAAAAACCTTTACAGTACCAACTAAAATAGCACTGCTTTTTAACACTGTCCTCCAACAGCTGCTGGGGAATCAAATTATTCATGGTGTGAGTTCCAGTACAATTTACTGCCACCCAACTTCCAGAGGGGTCATGTTTTACAGATTCTCCTCCTAAGGGTGCCCACCCATGTCCCCGCCTCAGGCCCTATTTGAACCAGAGAAAGGAATGTAAACAGGTCAGAACGCTTAACAGAGTCCATTAAACGCCCCCCCACCGGCCAGAACTGAAAAGTCACCTGACCCCCCTCCATCTGCCGCTGAGTCATCAAGCCCCTTCTTCCAGCAGGCTAATTATTCAAAACGGAAATGAAAAAAAACACTGGGAATTCTTCGGTTTGGGTGTTCATCTCCACCCCACCCCCTTCTAAAAACCATTTTGTTCTTCAGAGATGTAGCTGATTCGCTCTTACACTCGCAGTTAATCTTCGGAGGTTGCATCTGTTATTTTCCAATCTACTTAAAACACCTGGAGGGGGGAAAAATGCATTTCTGACACATCCCCTTTAAACGCCGGAACCTTGCAAAATAATGCAAAACGATTTATACTGCACATTTAGCTCTTTAAATTGCTAACCAGTAAGTTTCCATTCCATTCAGAGCAAAGCAGCTTTTGCTTTACAAGAAATGAGGCTAAATACTGAGGACAAACCCCTGGAAGGAGAATTAGTAAACGTGTCATTATTTAAGAAGCACAATGACAGCTAGAAAACAGTTGACGGTTATCTTTGACAAGCCCCTTTCTCTCTTCATTCCAGATTTTTTTTCTCTCCTGAGCAAGAGGCCCCGGTCTTCCTGTCTGGCCCCTGCGCGCTTTCCCGGATGGGCATGCCAACCTCGAAGTCACGCGTGGGCCTGCAACCCCCCCGCACCCCCGGCAGCCCCGCCTGGTGCATGCAGCAGCCGCAGCGGCCAAAGACCCCCACTTTCGCTTTCTGGGGCGTCGACGGGCCGCAGGCCTGCAGACCCGGGCTGCGCCGGCAGAGTGGGCGCCGCGCGTCCCTTACCTGCAGTGCCGCATGGCGCATCCCCGCCGCCCACCTGCACAGCATCCTAGAGCATCCTTTCTTCGGCGCGACGGCTGCGAGCGCGGTGACGTCACCGGAGGCGGGCCCCACGCCGCCACGTGACGCCCTCGGGGCGAGGCGGGGAGGGGGTGGGGGGCGAGGAAGACCCTGGAAGTCCCCGGAGGTGAGGAGCAAGTGGCCGGGAAGCCCCGCTCCGGCCTCGCTTCTGGGCCGTCTGCCTGAATGTGCGCAGCTTTCCCGGCCTTTCACCGACTGTGGGAAACAAGCAGCACACAGAAGGAGAAATCCAAATGACTACAGGCTCCAAGCATGTAATAGGATTTCAAAAGAGTTAGCAATAAAGGGATTAGTAATGAAAGGGAACAATTTAGTGTTTTATTTTTTAAAAGTCTTTATCAAAGGCAACGGAGAAATATATTTTGTGTACATCAAAATGACAGTTAAAATATAAAGTGCATGGAAATACTTAGCACAGAGGGTCAGTGTTTCAAATCATTTATCAAATATATATATCAAATACATACTTTATTTTGAAGCATATTCATTGTGGAATATTATGCTAATTGCACTGATAATGCTTTTATTTACTCTCAGTAGCTACACTCTAATATTAACTTGCATTTGCCACAGGGAAAAAAAAGGGATACCACATATTCATACTACTTACTGGAATATTTGCTGACTTAAAATAAAGCACTATTGCATGAGCATGGTTGTACTTGTGTGTTTTCTTAAACCTTCTGGCAAGGAATCTGATCTCTCAGACATGAAAGAGTTAATTCACAATAACTCATTATTTCACGCTTTTTAATTTTTATCACATTCTGCAGAAGTGAGTCATGTTACTATTACAGAAAATATGCACGATGTCAACATTTCTCATTCACAACTGAAACAGCCTTGCCTAGAAAGCCTTAGAAAATTCCAACAGTGATCATGTAAACCTGAAATGGCATATTTCAAACTTAAGCAGTGAACCCATTAAGTTTTCTTCTGCCAAACCATATAAACGGTTTTGAAATGTGAAAGGACAAAAGCAGAAACTGGTCTTACTTGTATTCCCCTTTCAGATACTAGTTTACTTTCCATAAAGTTTAAGTCACAATTTTAACATTGCCTCACCTCCTACCCCCGAAAGGGATGTGAAATAGATGGGTTTACAAGCAGGCAAGAGTTACCTACTTGCTATTTACTCCAGCCGCTTTGGTGTCCCTTCTATATTTAACCCGGGCCCTTTTGCCACCATTCCCTCCAGACTAACCAAACCTCCGTTCAGAGGGTCAGCCTCTTAATTTGGGACATATATATGGGCCCTTGCCCCTCACAACGATCTATTATTTTCCGCACCGGGTTTTAAAACCCAACAATGTGGCCGGTCCTGTGGTTTTCTAGTCACTCCTCTGAAGCCGGTTTTTCCAGGTGGTAAGTAACTTACCTTTTGCTTTCTGGTTCCGGAGATACAAAAATAAATAAAACGCTAGCGCAGTCCCCCGCTCCCGTGGGTGGAGGGTCTAATGGAGACAGAATCTGACAGGCTCCCTTTCCTGCCCCAGGCAAATGTCGATTTCATGCTCCGGCGCCCAGGGCGGCCCCACCCCCACCCCCCGCGGAGCCGGGCTGGGCGGTCACGTGCTGGGCCCAGCCACTCCGTCCGGCCCAGCCGGCTGGGTCACCTCCGGGCCCTGGAGGCCCGCCACGCCGATCGCGTTCGCCTCCTACGCGCGGTGCGTTCCCGGCCAGAGGGGAACCTAGCGGCCGCGACACCGACGCCCTGCCCCGAGAGGCCTGGCTGCGCCGGCTACTGCGACAGAGAGGCCGGACTCCCCGGGCGGTGGGGAGGGCGGGGGTCTGTAAGATGGCCTCCTGCGGTCTGGAATGACTTGCTCGGTGGTGTTGCGGCTGGGCAGAAATGATTCGAGTAAAGGCAGCTTCCTCGTTGTGGGGCGGTTTTTTTGTTTTGTTTTGTTTTGTTTTGTTTTGTTTCTTGCCGATAGGTTGGTTTCGCCTTCTCTTTCGGAGGGGATTGCTCAAGTGTGAAGAACATTACAGCAAACAGGCGGTTCAGGAAAGGCCTAAAACGGCCATGTCATTTTGAACAGAATGACATAACTTCTGTCAAAGGTTCAAAATAGCCGGAAGAAAACCAAAGGAATCACTGAAGTAGCAGTCAGTAAAAAATTACTGTGCGGGCCCCAGAAAGTTTGCGGACCGGGAGCATTCAAACCAAAACATGGAATGAGGCTCAGGGGTGCGTGGTTTAAGGCAGCTTATCCAGTGACAAAGCTGTGACTGTTTATTCTTCACAGTGATTAGTTACAATATTATAATTTTCAGTGGTTACCAGTCATATCAACTTCGGGAAGCAGTTCAAGTTTTGCTTGTCATTTCCGGAGACACGGGCAAGAAACGACCAGGTCCAGTTAGCCTTGCAGGATAAGCCACGTTAAGCTTCGCCAGCATGACCAAACTGCTTCTGTCTGCTCGGGGACACTTCAAGGTTGGTCTCCCTTTGTTTCTAAATTTTAACAATTTCCCCCCCCTTTGGGTCAGAGCTCAGCAGGCTCAGAGTATGACCAGCCATTATGGGCGTTATTCTCCACTACCACGGTTGGTGACTAGTCAGGCTGGAAGATGACACATTTACTGTTTCCATTAGTTGAGTCATCAGGCCAGAGGGCCGTGTAGTCACCATCTTCATCATTCATGTGGTTATTGTTGATTTCATCCAGTTGCCTGCTCTTGATGGATGCCATCTGGCATGTGATTGGCTGCCAACAGGCATTTAAAAGCTTCGAGAGTATACAATGCGCTAGAAAGGTCAATATGATGATTGTAGGGAAAACAATAGCCAAGCATTGAAAACTTCCCCAGAGCAGAGATACCCAGGAGCCAAGGTTTAACCGACCAAATAAATCCAATGGGTTGTAATCAGATTCGGATTTTACTTTACTAAGTCAATCTACCAAAAAAAATTTTAAGTTATTTACGTAGGCATAACATGATGTATTAGCAAACACGTATCCTCACGATGACCCGAGGCAGGATGAACTTGAGAATGTTGTATTTCAGGAAGTGGTGTTACGCATGGGCTTCGGCATCTATATGATGTGAGCAATCAGGTAATTTAATGAGAGGCAATTCTATGGAAACAAAAGAAAAACAAAGATTAATAGTTCAAGCAAATTAGAAATTACGTTTTCTGAGTTTGGAGAGCAGTCAGTTGAGAAGATTTCTAAAAGTCGGATTCTAAGTATCTTTAGATAGAGTGCAAGCAGTGCAGTCAAGCAATCAGATTTTCCTGTTTGCAGTGTCAATGTCCCCGGTGATCTTTCCGAGTGGCCGCACAGCAGCAGGTACAAAGATTGTCTGCACATGGGCTGCTGGGATTTCTTTGAAGTTTATATCAAGTTGTCCAGTTTCAGCTTGCATGGCTTAGGGGTGGGGGGTGGGGGAAGGCAGGTTTAATTTCATAGTGATGCCAAGTGAAAATAGTGGGAGAAAATTGGAAATGCTAGTCTGGAGAGTTTTAGCCAAATATTGGAGGAAGCTAGAACTTGGGATCCAGTCCAGTTTACAAGTAGAAAATAAACCTCAGAGATGATCAACAGCACTAGGATCTAATATCCACAGGGGTGTATCACTGAAACATAAATTTCTCTCCATAATCATTTCCATTTCCATCAAAGACAACCATGGCGAGACTAATTTGTTTTGCAAATTAAGTTGACTTTTAATAAGCTTGGCCTGATTAGTTATATAAGTGCAGCAGGAATAGTGATTGATCATGTTCTTTCAGATCCTTTTAAATCTGCAAACAAAACAAAGAACCAGCAGTATTTTAAAGGAAGTCATAAAAATTCTAATCATCTTCATTAATTCATTTGGTCTCCTGTAATTAATTCTTGTTGATCTCGATCTTTTGTTAGTTGGATGAATTCATTACTTTCATGGAAAAGTGTAACACCAGTTCCAGTACACCAGTTCCGTGTTATGATCTTAAAGTCATCAGAAACCTGTATTCTACAGAGTACTTTGTGGGGGGGGGTCTTTTTCGTGAATCTCCTCAAAGATAAAGCATTTTTCAGGAAACAAACTGAGTGTTGTTGGAGTGGGGGGTGGGGTGGGAGGGATGGGGTGACTGGGTGATAGACACTGGGGAGGGTACGTGCTCTGTTAAGCGCTGTGAATTGTGCAGGACTGTTGAGTCTCAGATCTGTACCTCTGAGACAAATAATGCAAGATATGTTAAGAAAAAAAAAAAAAAAAAGAAGAAGAAGAAGAAGGTAGCGGGAGGGGAGGAATGAAGCGGGGGAAATCGGAGGGGTGGACGAACCATGAGAGAAGATGGACTCTGAAAAACAAACTGAGGGTTCTAGAGGGGAGGGGGGTGGGAGGATGGGTTGGCCTGGTGGTGGGTATTGAGGAGGGCACGTTCTGCATGGAGCACTGGGTGTTGTGCACGAACAATGAATCATGGAACACTTCATCTAGAACTAATGATGTAATGTATGGGGATTAACATAAGAATAAAAAAAAATTAAAAAAAAAAAGATAAAGCATTTTGCAGGAACATTTTTGCAAAAGCATCAGAATAAAACAGTAACTATCTGCAAATGGTAAAAGGCTTAAAAATTGGCAATGGTTAAAGATCAGATGAGAAGTCATTATAATGCAATTGACAAGAAAATTTGGTTATTTCTCTGATATACCATATTTTAAGACAATAGCTGGAATTATGACTGATAACACTGTGTCAGTACATCAGATCCCCATGAACTTCATATACTTTCTGGAATGTTTATATTAATAACTTCCGTATAAATATTTCCTAAAGAAAGTTTAGCATGGCTTCTTATTTGAAAATGCTTCCCATGAAATTTAACATGCCATTAAAAAGTTAGTTGGAAAAAAAACTTAGCTTTTTACATAAGGAAGACAATTTGCTTAAGTAACCTGATGAAGACAAAACACAGAATCTTTGTTTTCTAGGCAGATTACATGAAAGGTAAAGAAAAACCTTTGTTTGCAATTTCTTATTAAGAGCAGACCAATAATTTAAGAACACTTTTTCCTTTTAACAGAGAGAAAACCAAATTCTAATTGTGCACCACTGCGCTTTTGATATTAAAATTCTTCCTTTTTTCTTTTTAATTTAAATAAATCCATTTTAATCTCAGTCTGCTTAGCCACACATAACATTCCTTTCTCAAGATCCCTTTTCCGCAAGCCTTCTACAACTTTCTGTATCCATTTGGGTTTTGTCCTTTTTTCTTTCTTATTCTGGAACAATGATTTTCCTTTAGGATGAAATTACTTTCTTTTTTCCCCCCTTACCAAAAATGCATCTCCACCCCTCATACCTTCTTTTACCCAAAACACGCCTCCTCCTTTTCATATGCAGTCCCTTTCTTTCATCCTTATTATCTCTAGTAGTTTTGTAAAACCAAAACCAAAACAAACAAACAAAAAAACTAAAAGCAAGCAAACAAAACCCTCTTTTTTCTGACAACTTCCACTTTATTAGTTCAAATGTTATTTTCTCGATTTCAAAAACTTACAAAGCTTATCTAGGAAAGAAATGGCCCAAGGCTGGCGCTAAGGAATAATCACAGATGTACTCAGGGAGGACGGCACAGTCGCCTCTGCACCACGTTCGGTGAATATACATCCCTCCTGTGTAATACACTTAAAATAAACCGTCTGCTTTTTGTAAATTACAGCATGAGATTCACTCGTGTCTCCAGGCTCATGCTGACATTGCTCTGTGAGCCTGCCGATGAGACGACAGGCAGGGCAACAGGATCCCCACATTATTGCTGAAGGCGCTTGCTCCAAGCTGAGCAGACAGAATAAAAATTCGAAAGATGGAACAGCAAGGTCCAAACTGATGGCACAGCTGTAAATAGCTGGGAAGCCGCCATCAGAATTCACAGCCTTGCAAGCAGTTACAGGAAATGGGGGAAGTGCTTTTAAATAATTTTTTTCTTCTTTCCCCCCCTTTTGTTCTTTTTCTCCTTTCCTTTTTCTTTTTTTCCTTTTTTTCCCAAGGGTGGTGTTTCTTGCGCTGGCCTTTTCAGCTGGCCACACAGGCCCTTCCATTGCTCTATTTCCTGCGGTAGAAGAGCGGTGGCTTTCAAACACGGTGGATCATTCCACAGCAAGAAAGAGAGTGTATATTACGGCCCAGCACCTACTTACACCGATAAAACCATGTAAGTAACTGAAATAGAAGTTGCATCAACTGACACGTATTTCCTATTCTGAGTATATGCCATGCAGGCACTCTCTTTTGCACTTGATGAAATTATCCTTTTATCTATATGCAGATAATAAATCCATCTATAAATGATAGATAAAATTGAAGAGACGTAGTATCCATTTATCTAGATAGATGTAGATCATACGTGTATTTTCGATTTAAATAAATGCTAATGCTCACTCCCCAAGGGTCTGGGAGCCCAGTCTGAGAAACAGGAAGTTCCAGTAAATCCTCCCACAGCAGGAAGAAGCTCGCCTGGGAGCCCCGTTGCATCTCACCCTGCACTGGGGCGCCTGCGCTCCCCGCTCCCCGGAACCGAGCAAGGCTTGTGCGCAGTTAGCTTACGCTTCTTGTTCCAAGTGCTCTGACTTACTCTCTTTTCGGTTCATTTTTGCTGCGGCAGCCCTTCTCCCAACTTTTTAAACTATTGGTAATTTTTGCTTTCCAGGGAAAACTGGGAAGCAGGCCACCGTGACCTGTCTATCATATATCAGCATCCTGTGGTAGATTAGCAAACTGATAAATACATTTCAAAATTATTGGAAGTCTATTCTTTCTTACAATAATTTTTTTCCATGTGGCATAAAACATGGTTATCAATAGACCCACATATTAGTTTCTCTCTGTAAAAATTAAAAAACCAAAAGTAGATAAACTTATGTTTCACATTTACTGTTCATCTTATTTGGAAATGAGTTAGATGTTCACTGAATAGCCATCATTTCATTTAACGTAGCATAAACTTTGCCCTTATTTACACTTGTTTAAATTGTTTCTTTTTTTAAGATTTTATTTTTATTTATTTATTTTTTAATTTTATTTGTTTATCTGAGAGAGACACAGACAGAGATGGAGACAGAGAGCAGGAGCTGAAGGAGAGGGAGAAGCAGACTCCCTGCTGAGCAGGGAGCCCAATGTAGGACTCCATCCCAGGACCCTGGGATCATGACCTGAGCCAAAGACAGACGCTTAACCAACTGAGCCACCCAGGTGCCCCAAGATTTTATTTTTAAGTGATCTCTACACCCGATATGGGGCTCAAACTCACAGCCCCCAGATAGAGTTGCACCCTCTACCCCCTGAGCCAGCCAGGCCCCCCCTAAATTACTTCTTTTTAACAATGATGCTTGGATTAGACATCAAATAGTTAACTGTTTTCTTAGTTATTTTTTTGTTGACAAATTTTGGAGACGTGCTTGCTTCTATTAAACCAACGAATTTGAATTAATTTTTACTTATCAAAGATTATCGCAGATCGTGTGAACTTGAAAAAATATTTGGGTTACTTTCTACATTTCTGAGAGTATACTTGATTTATATAAACAAATTTCTTTAAGCCAATTAAAATAGAGTTCTTTACAAATTAGTTTTGGCAATACCATCCAGAGGTAGAAAAATATCACACGTCTATAATGTACATACACAGACACACAGATAACCTGACACGCAGAGCTCTTCCAGCTTGTGTTTTAAAAAGTTTAGCCGTGTCTCGGATACAAAACTCAAAAAAACTAGATCCAAACTGTGTTTCTGGCACATGCACTAAGTTAAGGTTACATGGTCAGATGACCAAAGTTTTTACGAAAGATTTGTATTTGCATGCTACATGCAAGGATCCTTCCAGAACTGTTTTTTGAGGTCATTTTGTCTTTTAGAAGCTTCTCGGCCTCTCTCTCCATCCGGTCTCCTGGTTTGTGAGATGAGACTTTCAGCCCCGGGAATCTCTGGGATACCTTCCATGGCCAGCCCTCTACGATTCTAACAGCTAAGGACGTTTCATCTGCCGGAATATTCTCTCTCCCACCCCTCCTGTATTTTAGGGTCCCTGTGAAACTGTGCACACCGTATCTATCAAGCTCACTGCCTAGAAAGGGGGCCCAGTCAGCCCAGCGTGCGTGAGACGCTGGAAGGAGCCGGGGCGCATCTCGGCGTGGGGCAGGGGCACTCCGAGGCCAGAAGGGGTGATGCAGGTGCAAGAGGGGGGCCAGTTCGTCCCTCCTTCGGGGTTAAGGACGGGTCGGTGCACACGGGAGATGAGCAGGACGGTGCCCCCCGGGCTTCCTGGGGGAGAGACGAGAGCCAGCGTGCTCCCCGTGCTGGCACGGGACGGACACCGGCTCCGCGCGGGTTTGCGGTTCGTGTCAAGCAGGCACAGGGAACTGCATCCTTGCTCACGATGGGCTGCACGGCAGGCTGCCCCCAAACAGGCCACTTTGGCCTATTGACTGTTTTGAACTTAGTTACAGGAGAAGCAGCGGGCGCAAGGACTCTCTGACCTCCTTTGTGCCCTGGAAGCAGGACCTAAGTGTCCCCCGTGAAGGTCCGCGTCCTGTCCCGGGAGGAAGGGAGACAGCCTTCTTGCCAGCGATGGGGACGTCAAGGCCGAGAAGGCTGTGTAAGCAAACCGGCTACTTCTTCGCTGCTTCGCTACCCCAAGCCCCAGCTTCTGTCAGTGCTTCACAGATTCATGGTTTCTTTGTCTAAAAGGTGTAAAAGCTGCTAGCTTGGCTCACTTCTTGGAGTCTCCTATTTCTATGGGCTCCCATACGTACACAATTAAATTTGTTTTTCTCCTGTTAACCTGTCTTCTGCCGATTTCATTATTAGACCAGCCAAAGAACCCAGAGGGAAAAGTTTTCTGCCTCTACAATGTACTATATTTTTATCTACATGAACACCTTTATACATGAACGTAGGAAACAATTCGGTAGCCAATCCAGTAAAGTCTCAACCAACACTGGAATTTCACTGGCTAGCGGGATTAGGGGTGTTTCACATTTTTCTTCCTTTTAGTTTACTTACACGTCCTAATTTTTCTACCGTTACTGTGTATTACTTTTGTAACAAGAAACAGTTATTGCTTGTTTTCTCGAAAGCACTATAGTAGACACGATGCTCATGGAATAAACAATTTTGGCTGCCTTTTAATGCAGATTTCATTACTCGAAGATTCTCACATCTTAACTGCAAAACCCCGAGGGAACAATTCCTAGTCATCCTAGATTATTCCGCTCATAAAAATCTTCAGGAAAGAAGATGCCAGCCCAAAACTGGTGGTAATGTTTAATCGTCCGCTGGTCAGTCTCAGCTTCTCTTCCATAGAAATTCCTTTCTTCCTCTGCTCCGTGTGGAGATAGGAAGCTAGTCCTTACCAGCCTTCACGAAAACAATTCTCCAAATACTTGTGTAGCAACCTTTGAGCTTCTATCATCTTCACAGATTGCTACTTTGTATCCCTTTGAATCCTTGACATTTTCCCTCCGGATCTGCCGCTGGGCCATTTTGGCCGCCCCCGCTCTGGGAGAGCAGCGCTACTGGCACCTAGTGGCGAGAGGCTGGAGGTGCGGCTCGACCGCCCAGGGCGCGCAGGGCGGCCCCGCGGAGAAGGTGCAGAGCTGGGGGAACCCTGGCTCGAAATTCCTTATCAAGTATGATCTGATGCCAAAAAGGTTCCGTTTCCCAGCCATTTTTTAGAGTTCACCATTGTAGGGGCGCCTGGGGGGCTCAGTCGGTGAAGCTTCTGCCTTCGGCTCAGGTCGTGATCCTGGGGGTCCTGGCACCGAGCCCCGCATGGGGCTCCCTGCCCAGTGGGGAGCCTGCTTCTCCCTCTGCCTGCCTCTCTCTCTCACACACAAATAAATAAATAAAATCTTAAAAAAAAAAAAAAAAGAGGAGAGGGAAAAGTGACTGGTGTAGACTCTAAGTACATGCAATCCAGCCCCTCCCGGGCATTCTGAGCTGTGGTCGTAGACCCCGGCGGGCACCCGAAAGCTGCAAATGTGGGCCATGTTACCCGACATCCATCGAAAGGGGTAACCTTGAATGATGTGACAAACCACAGCTTTAAAAGCCCTCTGCGCTTTTGCAACAGAGCTGTTGTCAGGGAAGTTGTCACTGTGGGAAGCCTGAGAGGAGACCCCGTGTAGCACTAAGGGCTCAGAGAATCCTTGCTTCCCCTGAGAACTCACGAGGCTGCTTTCCTCTCGGACAGTAAAGACTGTGTAGCTAGCAGTGTGCGCTTCTTTTCTCCCTGGGTGCCAGGAACCTCAGATTGCGCTCAGACAATTCAATAGGACCGGCCCCTCAAGTTGGCATCTGTACGGCGGCGTGCTGGCCAAGGTTCAAGAAGGCAGCTCTGTAAGGGTGAGGATGGGGGGGAGCCCCGATTTGCAGCGTCTGCAGATTACAGTGGCCAAGGTTCTCTCACCACGGCTGGCTTCCAGCTACGGAGGGTGCACCTGCGGAGTGAGATAGAATCTGCACCCTTCCGGGCGCCTGGGTGGCTCAGTTGGTTAAGCGACTGCCTTCAGCTCAGGTCATGATCCCAGGGTCCTGGGATCGAGTCCCGCATCGGGCTCCCTGCTCTGCGGGGAGCCTGCTTCTCCCTCTCCCACTCCCCCTGCTTGTGTTCCCTCTCTCGCTGTGTCTCTGTCAAATAAATAAATAAAATCTTTAAAAAAAAAAAAAAAAGAATCTGCACCCTTCCTACGCAGGCGACACAAGGAAGCTGTTTTACTGCGCCTGGGCAAGGGACAGCTTTCCCACCAGGACCTGGTCTTCGAGAAAAGCTGTCACTTGTCCCAGTGCTTTAGATTGGATATATGAATTTTATAAAATTGTACTGCTTCAATATGGAAGCCATTAAGCCACAAGGTGTTGTTTACATTTAAATTACTTTAAAGCCATAAAATTTAGGGGTGCCTGGCTGGCTCAGTCGTTGAGTGCCTGCCTTCGGCTCAGGTCATGATCCCGGGGTCCTGGGATCGAGTCCCGCATCGGGCTCCCTGCTCAGTGGGGAGCCTGCTTCTCCCTCTGCCTCTGCTGCTCCCCCTGCTTGTGCTCACTCGCTCTCTCTCTGTCAAATAGATGAATAAAATCTTAAAAATAAATAAATAAATCCTTAACAAAATTTAAAAGTCAGTTCCTCAGTCACCTTAGCCACATGTCAAGTGCCCGATAGCCCCCCGCGCTAACGGCGACACCATTTTAGTGCAGATATAGAACAATTTCATCACCACAGAGAGTTCTATTAGTGCTGTAAAGCATTTCTTTTAAACTAATTCCATTGCAGTAAGACAATTTATGTTTATTACCCAGGGGATTCGGCCTGTAATTGCAGGGTAGGAAAAGCAATCTGGCCAGAGCGTCTGTTTATGGGAAGGACGGAAAATCACGGATTCCAGAAGGCCCTGTGCCTCCAGCCACAGGTCCCGGGCAAGAGGCTCCCAAATGCCACGAGATGTGCAGCCTCTGCCTTCGGACTTCACTGGGGGCCTGCGAATCTCGTTCCAAAGTGAGAGGAGAGTGCCTGGTCCCTTGCTTCAAAGCAAAAATTGCGATGCATGACAAGAGCACGCACATTAGAACAAAGTGCTTCCGTGGTCAGGTGAGTAATGACCCTCCCAAAGATGGTCACACCCTGATTCCATAGGTCACCTCACATGGCAAAAGGGACTTGGCAGGTGTGATTAGGTTAAGGCTGCCGAGGTGGGAGATGATCCTGGCTGATGGGGGGAGGGGCCCAGTGTCATCACAAGGGTCCTTATAAGAGGGAGGCTGGAGGGACGGAGTCAGAGAAGGAGATAAGCCAACAGAAGCAGAAGTCAGAGACGTGGAGCCGCTGGCCTGGAAGGTGGAGGGAGGGGCCAGGAGCCAACAAACACAAGTGGCCTCGAGAAGCTGGGAAAAGCAAGGAAACAGATTCTCCCCTAGAGCCTCTAGAAGGAACTCAGCCTTCAGACTTCTGACCTCCATCCAGAACTGTGACAGAATAAATCTGTGTTGCTTTAGCCACTAAGTTTATGGACATTTGTTACAGCAGCGACAGGTACCTAACAGAGGCTTGACTCCCTGATTCGCCCGGTTCATACTGACTGAACACCCAGGCTGCACGCCACCCCAGAAGCAATGCTTTGGACTGACCCGGTACCTCTGCCCTCAGAGTTTACAGTCTCTGGGGAGAGAGCCAGGAAATGAGCCTTTCCCATCGACAGTAGGCAGTGCTCTAACAGGACAAGTCCCGGGTGATGGGGAAACACAGTGTTAGGGGCCAAACTGTGTCCCCCCAAATTCATATGCTGAAGCCCACCCCTAGTACCTTAGAATGTGAGCGTATTTGGAGATGGGGTCTCTAAAGAGGTGATGTACAGTAAAATGAGCTCATTAGGTTGAGCCCTAACCCAATGACTGGCGCCCTTATGAGAAGAGGAAAAGATAGCAGGGCTGCAGGCACTGGGGGCGGCCGTGGGAAGAGGCGGCAAGAGGACGGCCGTCTGTAAGCCGAGGAGAGAGACCTCAGAACACAACCCTGCAGGCACCTTGACCTTGGACTTCCTCTTTGTGGCGATGTATTATGGCAGCCTTACAAAATTAATATCCTATGTATGTACGTATAAATCAATCCATTTCTAAACCCTAATTATGCAGAATGTTCTGCTTTTCATGGAAACAGTCACAAAGACTGACTATGGAGGGGCGCGTGGGTGGCTCGGTCGGTTAAGCGTCTGACTCTTGCTTTCAGCTCAGGTCGTGATCTCAGGGTCAGGAGATGGAGTCCCATATTGGGGGGGGGGTCCGTGCTCAGCAGGGAGTCTGCTGGAGTTCCTCTCTCTTCCTCTCCTTCTGCCTCCCCCACCACCACCACCCCACTCCCGCTCATGCTCACACACTCTCTCTCCATAAATCTTTAAAAAAACCTATCATAGGCCATAAAGAAAACCTCAATAAATTCCGAAGAATAAAAATAACACAAACAGGATTTTCTGACTATTTCGCAACGAAAGTAGACATAAATAAAAATCCATCAAGACCCTTGTATCTGGAAAAAATTTAGAAGACGTGTTAATAACACCTTTTGGGTCAAAGGGGAAATACAAAGTGAAATTATAGAACTTCTTAGTAATAATAAGAATGAAAAAAACTCAACAGATTAGTTGACAGAGAAAATGTATAGCACTAAATTGGTTTAGCATTATAAAACTTCAAATAAACACACCCAACTCAAACTACCCAAATAAGGCAACTAAGTAAGACACAAGAAAACGAAGGATTCATAAAAACAAAAGCAGTATTTCATAAGACAGAAAAACAATAGAACAAGTGAACTAAAAACCTGGTTTTATTTATTTATTTATTTATAAGTCAGCTCTACATCCAACGTGGGGCTCAAACACACAACCCTGGAGATCAAGAGTTGCACATTCCACTGACTGAGCTAGCCAGAACCCAAGCTGGTTCTCTTTACAAAAAAAAAAGGTCCAAAAATAATCCAATAACCTAATCAAGGAGAAAGAAAGGTGAAAACACATATAGAAAGTAGGAAATGCCAGGGGAAAAGAACCCTCTCGAAAGGAAGGCAGCGCCCCTCAAAACATTCCTGTGCACTCTTGACAAACGGGAAAACAGATTAAATGGGTCATTTTTAAGAAAAATACAACTCTACCGAAATTGACCTCAAGGGACAGGTCTAAAAAGCTCAATTTCCATCGAAGAAATAAGAGTAAGTGATTTCAAGACCGTGCCTATGATAAAAAGCACGGAGCACACCCAAAAGGCCCCTCAGCAGAGTGCTTCCGAACTCCCCTCTCAGAGCCAAGAAAAAGAAGAAAAACTTCCACATTTACTTTATTTTTTTTTTAAAGATTTTATTTATTTATTTGACAGAGAGAGACACAGTGAGAGAGGGAACACAAGCAGGGGGAGTGGGAGAAGGAGAAGCAGGCTTCCCGCGGAGCAGGGAGCCCGATGCGGGGCTCGATCCCAGGACCCTGGGATCATGACCTGAGCCGAAGGCAGACGCTTAACGACTGAGCCACCCAGGCGCCCCCCAATTTACTTTATAGAGGACCACACTGACCCTCAACCCGGCAAAGACTGCACTAAAAAAAAAAAAATTAGTGTAGCAAAGCAAAAATTATAAATACAATACT